GTTCTTCTCAATGTTCTGGACCGCACAGATAGATTGAAATGTCTCCAGATATGTCGGCTGTCCACTTAGATCCTTGTTGAGGTAAGAACTAGCAAATACCACTGACTTATGTTGAATGGACTGCCACCGGCAGCCACCTTACGTTGCCAATAGTTAAGCACACTTACCAAACCTCCGTTCATTACGATTCACGATACAGAGATAATAAACTTTGATTAGTCGACGTAAACAGTAAAGTTTATACGTTGAGAGGCTCTCACATCCCATTTCCATGAAAGCATCTCAGCGTAAAATATGCACCGATAACAGCGTTTGCAGTGAAAACCGAACAGAAGTTGTCAGTCACTCTGGCAACGTAAGATGGCTGCCCACCGGCTGAAGCCGCGACAGGCCAATTGTTATGCTGCATTCGATGAAGATAGGAAGTCGGACTTTTCCGATTTCGGCCCAAAAAAGTGCACTTAAATGCACTAGAAGACGAAAAAAAAAAAAAATACTCAAGAGTTCACCAACATGTTTCAATATGACGTCACTCAACAATGTTGACACAACGGTGACGCAATGGAGACACAGGCTGTAAATGGCAAAACATAACTTACAAGACTATAAACATACGATTGACTCAGCTGGCCGACATCTTTTTAGCCCCGCGTGTCATTTTAAACATGTCATGCTATAGAGAAGACTCGTCGCTGTTTGTTCAGCTGCGGAGTTTCGCACCGACATCTGGAATCAGACTATGGTCGAGCCTCACGCGAGCGCTGAGTTGCGAAAACACTCAGGCTGGCAAGGACAACTTCGGCTTGTGCCGATAGAACACGGCACGCAGGTGGGCACCGTCCACCATCTGGTTGTAAAGCACACCTCAGCTGGGTTTACAATTCAAGAAATAGCGTTGTCAAACTCAGACTGTAAAAGTGGGCTCCGAAGGGTCATGGGCGGTATAAAGCGTGTTGCAATCTTCTGCCGACTGTCAAAACGTCTACTTTTTGCACCACCTTTCACACCAAAGTCCACAAACATGCCGGAATTGTAGGGCGGGCGCTACATAGCAGCACAAACTGATGATTTTATTTTATTTTTTTCTGTGAAAAATGCGTTGACAAAGTTCTACAGAAAATGTTGCGAGTGTTAACCGGGCTAAATCGCACAAAGCTCCGAAAGCTGTTACCAGTGTCGACAGTTTCCAGATTGGTGTTTGGAGACATTCCTTTGGCCAGCCTTCGGTATGGTGTCGGGGGTCATATTCCCTCCAAAAAAAAAAAAAAGCCAGGGCCGCGTGAGAACTGACAGGGATGCAGGAAAGCATCGTTGCGGGCCCGTTCGGGCAGAGAGTAGAGAAATTCCTCTGCACTTCTGTCATCCGCTTGAGATTAAGAGCAGCCTCGGTGCAGACGTCCTGGAACGCTCCACTCCAACTCTTGAGCGGGGACCTCTGGTGAATAGTTTCGCTTTCGAGCTGGGTGGTATGCTGACTTGGGTGGTATTCACAGAGGGATGCCTCGGAGGATTTGCAGCTTCTTTTTTTTTTTTTCATTGTCGATTCCTTGCAGCGCGTCTGGGAGGCTCCTCTTTTTGCGTACCTGCAAACCATCTGTTTGGTGCACTCAGGAACACCCAAAGGAAGAAGGCCTGATTGAGAAACTTGTATTTTGTGATCTTAACTGTACCAAGATACTGTTGCTTGAGTATTTGTAGTGTGACTATAGAAAGGTTGAAACAACAATGTGCAACGGTGGGATGTAAAAAAAGTGCAAATACTTGATGACTATACAAAAGTTGATTTTTTTTTTTTTTCTAGCCCGCAGCACACAACTAAACTTGTTATTCGTAAATGAAAGCATTGTTGGAGAAATGAAAGAAAACATCTGGAACATTTTTGGGGGGAAAAAAACGAAAGCATTAGAACAGTCATCAGGAAACCGAAAGTGAAGTATCCATTGGGAGTGACGCCCTGCTTCGAATATATAAATAAGACTTGTCTTGAGATGTTGTTTTTGCGCATTTGTGCCTTGACCGCAACGATTGCTTGGATCGCACTTGTGCCCTGAACGTTCACATAAAACTTCTTGGAAGAACTTCTCCATTTTCAGTCTCTGATTTTCACACCTCACCTCAGCCCAAATTCAAACGAACACGCGGAGGACTCGGGGGACGGCGAAAGGATCCCGCTTTCCAGGGGCTTTAAGAGAATCCGTGTGATGGCGTTGCCTTAAAGAATGATCCCCGGTGAAGTAAAGGAGCTCAAACAGTTCTTCTAAATTTACAGCTTCGGAGTGTCAGAACTTTTTTTCCCACCTCTTGACAATAAGCAGCAACGATATTCAGCAAACTGATTACACCGTCCTTGAGAGTCTTTCGGCACAGCCTCTGGTATTTACAAAACGCAAAAAATGCATTCCTCGTTCCAACGTGATTGAAAAGCCTTGACGACAACCATCGGTGCCGCGCTCAAGTCGAATCGTACGGCGTGCCTTTGAAGGTTACACGGGGCCGTAGCAAAGACTGTCAAGGAAATCGATTGAAAGAAAGATGGAAGCTATTGCAGACTGAGCACAAAGCAAAAGGATTTGAAGGAGCAACATAACGGGCTCGCTCTCAAGTTACCAATGCAATAATTCAAAAGCAAAAAGGAAAAAAAAAAAAAAGCAAATGGCTGGAATGCTGACATTGTAAGCAGTAGCTAGCTAGTCGTGTTAGCTTCGCTGGCTACAGACGAATATCGCGAGTATTTGGAGCCAAGAAAAGCATTTTACAAGTACAGTACATTGCTTGTGTTGGAAGATACAAAGGCGTGCCTAATGATTTTGGATGGATCACCAAGATCACAACAGCGGAACATTCCGGTATTTTACTGCCGGATTCATTCTTTTCCAGGGTCACTTGAACATGTGTACTTCTACAACTGTGTCTGTAAAAATGATGTCAGCACCAAAATTCACTCCCCCGAAGAACTGTGTAGTGATTTAAGTAGTTTTATTTTTTTTTGTGACGAAGTTCAGCACGAGTGGTAACGCCCCCAACTCGGGAGGAGACCGCTTGATTGACATTTTACCCTGACAGACTTGCTATCAGAGAATCAAGCAGTTGGCTCAGAGATGGTTGGACTTGTTGTCCGGCCAAGGCAGCGGTGAGCTCTGATAGCAGCAGCAGGCTCGTGAGAACAGCCGGGTGAAATTCTCAGACAAGATTGAAACAAACACACACGCAGATCCTGGCCAAACCGAAGCTAGCCTGGACGAAACGGAAAAGAAATAGCCCCGGACAAAAACGAGTTCGTGCAATGCTGTGCCACCACCTCCTGATCACTGCGGTCAAGCCAGCACGCACTCGCAAAGTCGAAGTCAAGTGAGCCCGCACTGCGATTGGCAATGCTCTGCATTACGGTAGTGTGCCGCCAGCGAGCGGCGTTGGCCACCTTCAAAATAAAAGAGCCACCACTCATGCATAAACGTCATTTGTTCGGGTTAAAATATATGAATAAAAACATAAAATAAGTAATTTCTTGGCTGTCAGATAACGATACGTTCACCCCGGAACAACAAGAACTCTCACAACAGCACAAAAAAGCGTTCTCAAGTGGAGAAAATAAAGTCAATGGTAAATCTACATCAATTTCACCTGATATTAAAAAAAATAATAATAATTAAAGAAACTAATCTGGGTGATAGCGCAACCACACCAGGTTGTCGACACACTAGGGCATGCCAGGTACACAACCACAGTACAGGCATTCAGATCGAATGTTCCCTATTCCCGCTTGTCTTTTTCGGGAGCGGAATTCATCTCCCATCAATCTTGACGAGGACACTGAAATGGTAGAGTCACTTCTTTTTATTTCAAAGTTAAAATGTAGGACACTCGGAGCTGCATTATCTCGTCCACCGGATAATTGAGGTGTCAGATTGATTTATTTGAGAAACACCCACGCACACACACACACACGCACGCACGCAACACAAAAGAATTCACGCTAACTGCACTTCTCTCACATCTAGCACAGTAAAAAAAAAACTATCCGTCCAATCCTCCATTATATGAACCGCTTAATTGTTTTTAAAAGTAGCTTTAACGATACGCATATACATTCACGTGAGCTGCCACCGACTGTTTGCTGTTAAGTGCAATCAATTAATCATGTCATAAAAAAAAAAACTTTGTTCTTCCCCTAAACGCTCTTCACTCACGTCATAATTTTCATGCAGCGATTATCAAAGTGTGGTACGCAGGCTCCCTCTAGTGGTACGTGAACAAAGTACTGTCCAGCTGTATTTCACTTTTAAGTTCAATACATTTTGTTTGAATTTTTAAGATATATATTTTAACTTTTACTTGGATACTTTTTAAAATATATTTTGTGTGAAATATATTTTAATTGGATCATTATTTAAGTCCAGTTTTAAGGGCAGAGAAGCTGTGCATGCACTTTAATGTTGATCATTATGTTGATACATGGAGAGCAGTGTTTTTTTTTTTGTTTTGTTTTTTAGGTGGAACTTGGTGTAAAATGTTTGAGAAGAGCTGATTTCAAGGTAAGTGCTTGATTGCCCTTTGACGGTTGCGCACAGAAAAGGCCAGAAAAAACGATCATGGATTCTAATTGTCAATAGCCAACGAATGACTGGAGATCCCCTGTGCCTGTCATTCATGCAAGTCATTTTCCTATTTATGGTAAAAGAGTTCGCCAACATTTTGGGTTTATGGAGCCGTTTCCGGGAGACAATTTTCCATAACCCCAATCTGACATTAGTACCGTGTGTACCCATTTCAACCTGAATAATCATGGAAAGGAATTTGGAGGGGAGTGAGTTTTTAAAAAAAAACCCAGACGCTCCCAAGGAAGATTACATAATGTATCAGAAACAGAAAGCGTTACCGACGAGGTGTTCATTTTCCACGCACTGGCAGGCACTCTGACAGCCAGTCACTGGTGCACCTCTTGCAACCTTACCTGACGGATAAATATATCAACCCTTTTCAATTTTTAACTGATTGTAATTTCCAGGAAAATATATATTTGAACATTTAGTTTTATCATAACACGATTACAAAAAAAGTCATTCTACCAACGCAGCAACTGTAGCTAACATCGGCTCGTTTCCAGTGCTAATAGTAGCTTAGCATTGCTCCCGCTGCAATTTTGTTGAAGCTGGTCATCTCGACTCCTTATCACAATTACGCACTTTCTTAAGCGCATGCGTTCATAAACGGCCATGATTGAGAACTGATCTTGACATCTAAAAATTAGCTCGGCGCGTAATGCCGCCTACTGCTGTAGAGAGAACTGAAGTCAAGGCAAGATGGCTGCCTTCTGATTTTAGCCACAAGAGGTCAGTGTGGTTCCAGGATATTTTGAAACATCCGTGGCTTTGGTCAGAAATTTCTGGGGGAGCAAAGATGAGTCAAGTGGGTCTACATTCAAATCTTGCTATCTGTTTTAAAACTTCAAATACCCCCTTTAATTGATCTCAATTCACTTTGATTGATATATTTCTACATGGCTGTGAACGGGAAGATCATGGCAACCTTAAGTTGCGAAAGCAGTGATTTAAAAAAAATGAGGGAAACTTTTGACCCGGTGTACGTGTTTCCAAGCCGCAAATATTTTCCCCCAGTCGCCCGTGTAAGTCATTTTTCTGTTTTTTCCGATTGAATAGTCGCTCAGTCCATGGTCCGCTTCACACTTTGTATGGAAATGGATGCTTTAATTTCTTGAATGACAAAAGACAGACGTGCCATGACACGCTTTTGTCACTATCTCTGCTCGTGGGGGCGTATCCTCTCGGGAAGCGGCTCATCTCCACTTGTTTGGTTGCAGTTTATCCGTCAACTTATTTGGCAGCTCCGCCACTGAAATCGTAGAGCGTCAACGGTTTTCTGCTCAGAAATATCCCGCCCGAGGTCACGCTCCACAGCTTCTCCTGCTGGAAGGACATCCCCACAAGAGAAACAGAAATTATTAACATTGGTCACCTTTGTGAGCTCATATCTTTTCATCAAATAGTACTGTACACACAAGCTGTACTTCGGCTCAAGGATTTTATTAAGTAACATTGGCAGAGTCCCAAAAAGCCGAGTGTTCATCTCTTCCCGTGCTGAAAAGAAAGCCTTTTTTTTTTGTGTGTGTGTGTCCTTGTGCATCATGGTGCACAAGGACACATGCTGTAATGTATCGATTTATTTATTTATTTTAAAAAAATCTATTTTGCAAGTTGTTGTCCATTATTGAGTATCACGCAGAAAACAGCAACAACAAAAAAGAAGCCTTGACTAGGATAAATAAAGTAAAATGAATTTGGTGCATCGGGAAAAAGATAAAAGAGAGAGGAAAGAAACAAGCACAGTCACTAGAATCAAGAACAGGTTCGAAAATGTTGACAGAACTCCATAGAATGCAACAGAGGAGCAAAATTGAAGAGGGATGACCAGCACCAAAGAGGTACCTTACAACTTTAGGGCTAATTTTTTTTGGAACATTCCAATCAAATTCAGAATTTTACTTTGGCGATGTCAACTTTGGTGATTTCACCGTGAATGGATTCCTTCGTGAATAATAATGCACAGCGCGCGTGGCTGAGTAACGCGGCATCCAATCTGTTGTGTAAGCCGAAATGGCACTGAACCCACTCAGGGTGACTAAATCCTTGAGATTCAGAGCTTCAAAATGTCAACAGCATCACTTGAGTCTGGAAGACGCTGAAGGACTCTGAACAGGGAGTCCTTCAGCACCTTGCAAAAATGTGATTTGTTTCTATTTATGTAGTTGGGTGTCTGGAGTACCTGGCCAACCAGCAAGTGTGAAATGACACGTTGCATCTGTCCACCTCCCACACCAAATTTCTCGACCAGTAGGAGGATATGGTTAGTCAGTGTCTATCCATCCATCCCTTTTCTGTAGCGCTTATCTATTTCGATTGGCAGGTGAGCTGTGGCCTATCGCAGCTGGTGAGGCAGGGAGCACCCTGGACTCGTCGCCAGCCCATCCCAGGGGCAAATGTAAACGATTAAATAACCCTTTGTACTCACATTGACACTGCAATTTAGTCTTCAAATAACCTAACACGGAGGTTCTCAAACTTTGCGGATCAGGAACCGCTTATAGTGGCGACATTTTTCGAAAAAGCTCCCTCATAATCCTGTGGCCATTTGAACATGGTACCGTGACTACCTTGTGTACCGCCAAATGCCTTAGACATTTAAAAGGTCCTTTTTCTACGGAGAAAAAAAAAGGTCTTCCAAAATATTGTTTTCTTTTTAGGGGAAAAAGTTGAGTCTTTTTTTTTTTTTGTTTTTTTTCCAAGAAAAGTTGTAATGTATTTCAAATAGTCATATTTTTCCAAGAAGTCAAATTATGATATAAAGTCAAGGGAAGACAGTTATTTTCATCCAGTGAATTTACAAAGTACAACTTTATGACTTTCAATGTTGAAAAGACAAAAATGGGATTTTATACCTCAAACAATACCCCTTTTGTACTTTTTATTTATTGATGTATTTATTGTGCAAAAATAGAACATGGTACCGTGACTACCTTGTGTACCGCCAAATGCCTTAGACATTTAAAAGGTCCTTTTTCTACGGAGAAAAAAAAAGGTCTTCCAAAATATTGTTTTCGGTGAGGCAGGGAGCACCCTGGACTCGTCGCCAGCCAAAATTTTGTTTTCTTTTTAGGGGAGAAAGTTGAGTTTTTTTTTTTTTTTTTTTTAAAGAAAAGTTGGAATGTGTTCCAAATAGTCATATTTTTCTAAGAAGTCAAATTATGATATAAAGTCAAGGGAAGACAGTTATTTTCATCCAGTGAATTTACAAAGTACAACTTTATGACTTTCAATGTTGAAAAGACAAAAATGGGATTTTATACCTCAAACAATACCCCTTTTGTACTTTTTATTTATTGATGTATTTATTGTGCAAAAATAGCTTTATTCAAGGAGGGATAATACCTCACAATGACATCAGAGCTTTTAATTGACCCAATGCGAAGGTAGCTACTCGCGAATTCAAAATGTTGCGGATTTTTATTTATTTTTTTTACCCTATCCCCCTTTTTTTTTTTTTGTTTTTTTTCCAAGAAAAGTTGTAATGTATTTCAAATAGTCATATTTTTCCAAGAAGTCAAATTATGATATAAAGTCAAGGGAAGACAGTTATTTTCATCCAGTGAATTTACAAAGTACAACTTTATGACTTTCAATGTTGAAAAGACAAAAATGGGATTTTATACCTCTAACAATACCCCTTTTGTACTTTTTATTTATTGATGTATTTATTGTGCAAAAATAGCTTTATTCAAGGAGGGATAATACCTCACAATGACATCAGAGCTTTTAATTGACCCAATGCGAAGGTAGCTACTCGCGAATTCAAAATGTTGCGGATTTTTATTTATTTTTTTACCCTATCCCCCATCATTCACTGAAAAACTCATCTATTTGCTGTCTTTGTGCTCTTTCTGAACACCCTAACGTGCCAGAAAAGGGTGCCAAATCACTGTCTCATTTTAAAGTTGCGCTTTGGCACTATCTTGTGACAGTGAGAGGCAGTCGGGGGCATCGATTCCTGGTAGATTTGTCCCTCGGTACTGG